CAACACAACAGACCAGCCTCTCTCAAAAGACCAGCCTCTCTCAACAGACCAGCCTCTCTCAACAGACCAGACTTACCACATAACAGACCAGCCTATCTCAACAGACCAGCCTCTCTCAACAGACCAGCCTCTCTCAACAGACCAGCCTCTCTCAACAGACCAGCCTCTCAACATACCAGCCTCTCTCAACATACCAGTCTTACCACATAACAGACCAGCCTCTCTCAACAGACCAGCCTCTCTCAACAGACCAGGCTCTCTCAACAGACCAGCCTCTCAACATACCAGCCTCTCTCAACATACCAGACTTACCACATAACAGACCAGCCTCTCTTAACAGATCAGCCTATCTCGACAGACCAGACTTACCACATAACAGACCAGCCTCTCTCAACAGACCAGCCTCTCTCAACAGACCAGCCTCTCTCAACAGACCAGCCTCTCAACATACCAGCCTCTCTCAACATACCAGTCTTACCACATAACAGACCAGCCTCTCTCAACATATCAGCCTCTCTCAACAGACCAGCCTCTCTCAACAGATTAGCCTATCTCGACATACCAGCCTCTCTCAACAGATTAAACTCTCTCAAAAGACTAGCCTCTCTCAACATATCAGTCTCTCTCAACAGACCAGCCTCTCTCAACATATCAGTCTCTCTCAACAGACCAGCCTCTCTCAACAGACCAGCCTCTCTCAACAGACCAGCCTCTCTCAACATACCAGCCTCTCTAAACAGACCAGCCTCTCTCAACAGACCAGCCTCTCTCAACAGACCAGCCTCTCAACATACCAGCCTCTCTCAACAGACCAGTCTCTCTCAACAGACCAGCCTCTCTCAACAGACCAGCCTCTCTCAACAGACCAGCCTCTCTCAACAGACCAGTCTTACCATACAAGACACCAGCATCTGTCAACTGACAAATCTTAAAGGCACCAGCATCTCTCAACAGACTAGCCTTTCAAAACAGACCAGTCGTAACATTAAGGCACCAGTAACTCACAAGAGACCAGTCTCTCTCAGCAGACCAGTCGTAATATACAAAAAACCAATCTCTCTCAACTGACCAATCTTTCCCTCCAAGATACCAGTCTCTCTCAACAGACCATTCTTACCATACAAGAAACAGACCAGACTTACCACATAACAGACCAGCCTCTCTCAACAGACCAGCCTCTCAACATACCAGCCTCTCAACAGACCAGCCTCTCTCAACAGACCAGCCTCTCTCAACAGACCAGCCTCTCTCAACAGACCAGCCTCTCAACATACCAGCCTCTCTCAACATACCAGTCTTACCACATAACAGACCAGCCTCTCTCAACAGACCAGCCTCTCTCAACAGACCAGGCTCTCTCAACAGACCAGCCTCTCAACATACCAGCCTCTCTCAACATACCAGACTTACCACATAACAGACCAGCCTCTCTTAACAGATCAGCCTATCTCGACAGACCAGACTTACCACATAACAGACCAGCCTCTCTCAACAGACCAGCCTCTCTCAACAGACCAGCCTCTCTCAACAGACCAGCCTCTCAACATACCAGCCTCTCTCAACATACCAGTCTTACCACATAACAGACCAGCCTCTCTCAACATATCAGCCTCTCTCAACAGACCAGCCTCTCTCAACAGATTAGCCTATCTCGACATACCAGCCTCTCTCAACAGATTAAACTCTCTCAAAAGACTAGCCTCTCTCAACATATCAGTCTCTCTCAACAGACCAGCCTCTCTCAACATATCAGTCTCTTTCAACAGACCAGCCTCTCTCAACAGACCAGCCTCTCTCAACAGACCAGCCTCTCTCAACATACCAGCCTCTCTAAACAGACCAGCCTCTCTCAACAGACCAGCCTCTCTCAACAGACCAGCCTCTCAACATACCAGCCTCTCTCAACAGACCAGTCTCTCTCAACAGACCAGCCTCTCTCAACAGACCAGCCTCTCTCAACAGACCAGCCTCTCTCAACAGACCAGTCTTACCATACAAGACACCAGCATCTGTCAACTGACAAATCTTAAAGGCACCAGCATCTCTCAACAGACTAGCCTTTCAAAACAGACCAGTCGTAACATTAAGGCACCAGTAACTCACAAGAGACCAGTCTCTCTCAGCAGACCAGTCGTAATATACAAAAAACCAATCTCTCTCAACTGACCAATCTTTCCCTCCAAGATACCAGTCTCTCTCAACAGACCATTCTTACCATACAAGAAACCAGCCTCTCTCAAAAGATTAGTCTTATCCTAAAATAGACAAGCCTCTCTCAGCACACCAGTCTTACCATACAAGACACCAGCCTTTCTCAACAGATCAGTCGTAACATACAATAGACCAGCCTCACATAACAGACATTAGACACCAACCTCTCTCAAAAAGACCAGCCTTACCATACAAGAGACCAGCCGATCTCAAAAGACCAGCCAGACCTATCAAGAATTCAAAGCGACAGATATTCGTGCACTGCAGTACAAGCCTGATGCTACTGTCTACTTCAAAGTGAATTAGCAGATAGCTGGCAATTGCTAAGCTAGGGTCGTAAGATTATGATCTCATCTGTAGCCCCTGTCAAGTTGTACAAGAGCAGAAAAAAAAAAGATAAAAGCTGTCATATTTGAGCACCTAAAAGCAAGTCATAAACACACCTTTTTATGATGATTTCCCTGATTTTAAAAATATGTTGCCATTTTAATGTTTCTGTATGTGACGTTTATTCAAAGAATAAACTTTTAAAATAAACACATTTTTTTGTTACATTTTTGTAAAATAAGTAAACATTAAGTCAGTATTAATGTGATTAGTTTGTTATGTCTCATTCATAATATATCTGACAATACGGTTTCTGTTTTTACTATTATCATTCTACAAACCCAGCACCCACCAGATTTAGTAAAATAAACTGTAAGAATAGAAAGATGTAATAAATAAAGCATAATCTTCAACAGTTAACAAGTCTAGTGCTAAATACAGACATAATGAATACACTCGAAAGCGATAAAGCCATACTAAAACATCTCTATTAAAAATTAAACTGACCCCATAATGTAGAATAAACTCAAATAATTAAAATATGAGCCCAAAACTATAATCTAAATATTATGAAGTGTTAATTATAACTTAAAAACATAAACATAACTAAATCACGTTCATTGGACAAAACGAACGAACGCGGCTGAGACTGAAATTCTCGGCTCAAAACAGCTAAGTCTGCGCGCGCATAGATAGACGGTTTGCACCGAGAATTTTAGACCGAGCAAACCGTCTATCTTTTTGAACCTGCTATAATTTTGGAAATATCAACAAAACCCATTTTAAAACGCTACAGTATAGTCGGTAGAGAGTTTCTTCGGAGATATCTTTAAAAAAAATTGTATTAGAGCGATCGAGAAGGAAATAATCAGTTTTTTGTCTCTCCTGTAAAATTTACATTTTCGGAGTTAGACGGTTTGCGACCGAGACCATCGATATATATCGGGCCCAAAATTGTTTTTTGCTATGTGGCCCTTTTTTCAAGTTCCTCCACTGGGTATAAATCTTGTCTTGTTTTATGAATAATGTAATAATCATTGTAAGATGTATATCAAAACATTTTTTTAATGATGTGAGTAAAACTGCCAAGTACCGCGTACCATCAAGGTAGATGTTTGAACTTGAGTGAGTTTGAGGTGATATGTTTAACGTGTAAATGTCGTCTGCTGAATTATTCCCATGTCTGCTGTTCCCAAGGTTCAACTATTCAAGCAGCTAAATTTAGTTTTAAAATAATCTCCGCGTTGCATCCTGTCAATAACTTGCAGTATACGACTCGGATAAATATTGATTTCACCTGATCTATTTAATTTTGAAAAATATTCTGATGTTTTCATGTCTACTTTAATATTCTTTTTAGAAAGTAAAAATCAAATAAAAATCACGTTTTTTGTACATTAGTTCATGTTTCAACGAGAGATATTTAACTTGAATTCTGACGTTTAGAAGGCAGGATTTGACGACAGACTGTACGGTTTGTATTTCTTTTAGTTTAGTGAGAAAAGGTGACGTGATCTTCTTAGTACTATTGGGATAAACTATTTGTTTTGTTAAAATCGCTGTTAATACTTTTTAAAGCTACTTTAATAGTTTAATTTTCAAATAACTATAATATAGCTTGAATAGTCAGGTAACTATAATTTAGTTTGATGTAACGTTTAGATAATTATTTCTTTTTACACAATTTATTAGAGTGCATAACAAGCAACATTTTATTTGTGTTAAGGAGATCAAATACGTTTAGCTCTTTCTACGACAGATTTCTTTTACGGAAAGTGTATTCATTTCTTTTCAAAAATAAAATACTTATGAAACGATGGGACGATCGGCGATTGCAGACTAGGGAAATTTCCAGAATGTTTGTTTTAGTTTGACAAGATAGAGACACGACTGCTGGTCAGTGTTGCTATTGGGTACAGAGGTGATAAGGTGCTCGCTTGCTGCTTTATCTTTATTGCACATCAGCCAGTATAGATTTTTTGCCTTAAAAAATATTCCATCCTAGTTTCCTTTTCACATTTATCTGTTGGTTTTCCAACCCGTGACGATCAGTTGATGTAAAGTGCAAATAGCACAAACTACAATCAGTGTGACGTCCAGCAAATGTGACGTCCAGTGCAGGTGAAACCCTGTGAGTGTGACGTCCCGCCAGTGACGTTCAGTGATGGTAAAATCCTGTGAGTGTGACGTCCAGTGAAGGTGAAAAAATATGAGTGTGACGTCCGTTCGTGACGTTCAGTGAAGGTTAGATTTCGTCACTGTGACGTCCAGTTAAGATAACGTCCAGACAGTGTGACGTCCTGTCAGGATAACGTCCAGACAGTGTGAGGTCTTCCAGTCAGAGAAACGTCCCAGATACTACAATGGCATCCTTGAAACGTCTTCTGTTTGTATGTTGCACCTGTGTGTGTACCATGCTACTGATTAACCTATGTGCAAATGTCTTCAAGTTCAGTAGCTACATGCCTCTAGCACCTGGTGAACTCACTGTTAAAAAGATGACTCTTGAAAAGGGTAATGTTGATGACGATGGCAAAGCAAAGGATAAGAAACAAACTGTTGATGTAAATCTCGACAATAAAGAAGATCGGCAGGTCGATGGCCGGCGTGAGAACTTTAAAGACCAGGAACAATTTTATGAAAAGACCGGTAACTCTATATTAGCTTACATGAAAGGTTCCCTCCCTATGAGTAAAATAGATGAGCCCCATGTTTGCGTCAGCACGCTGTATGTGTTCTGTAGCGAGCAGGAAGTGAAGGAGAGATACGCCATACCTAATGGTGAAACTACAACAAGAGATGCTACAAGTAGAGGCAGTAGAGTTGATGACACAGATAGAGGCAGTAGAGTTGATGACGGGTTCGGGCGAATACGTCGCAAGCTGGACACTGGTCAGAGCATCTCCATCACGCTGCCCTACATCCAGGACTGGCTAGAGGGTTACATGAAAAACACGCCCAGATGTCCAGTCAACAGGTGTAACTTTCACCTGGGCAACGCCACGAAAGACACGGACGTGTTCATGGTGGGCGCTGTCTTGCTGAAGGACAAGACCTTGCCCACGCAGAGGTGGCCGGGTCAGCTGTATGTTATTTATGCTGACGAGTCGGCTGCCCACTACCGCAGTGATATTACACAAGGTAAGTGGGCGTTTTGATTGTTGTATGAATTCTTGTGGGGACGGGTTGATTGGCTGGGTTGGGATAGTTGGGTTGCACGGTTGGAATATTAGGGCTGGAATGACTTTGCAGGTTTCGCATGGTCGGGCTGGCATAGGTGGGTTTGCATAGTCGGATGGGTATGGCGGGTTGCCTTGGTTGGTGGCATTAAGGGGGTGCATGGTAGGGTTGTCATATTCGGAATGGGAAGGTCGAGGTGACTTGGTTAGTTAGGGATCGTCTAGTTGGCATAAACCCTTCTAGGGTTGGCATGGTCGTGGTGAGAGTTTGGTGCTGTGTGAGATTATTGGTTGTCATGGTAACTAGCTTTCAGTCCTGGGTTTACACACTGATTTGTTCATGTTAGACGCCAGTCAGGCTCTCAGCGTTGATGCGTACCCAGCACACGTAGACGTGAGTGTGCCCTGTACTCACTGTATCTCGTTACAGACCTTGGTTATACAAGTCGCCACACTCTACACGGCTTTATGTTTATGTATTAACTTAAGTACTTTGTAGATTTTTACTTTCAATTATGTTCAGGTTTTAACCTGAGCATATCTCACGTTTACACGTACAACATGTCTAGATTTTAGAAAACTCGCAACAAGTAAACATGTTCCGTGGGAAAAATATTTCCATAAAAATTTTAAAATTAATTTTTTTCTTGACTTGTATAGTATACATGTCGTAAGTGTAAACGCGGTTTCACAAACATTTTTTGCCGGATAGTAATTTCACCATTTGAAATAGTAGTAATACAGCAATATCTCTGAATGATATCATTTTAAAGTTACATTAAAGTTGAACATAACTTAGAATTTCTTTTATAATTTTCTCCCCAGAAAACTCGACCTGGAGACACGCCTTCAACCTGACGGTGACCCACAGGTCTGACGCAGATCTCCACTACCCCTACGGCAGGCTGTTATACAGCCCGCTGTCTGCTGACCAGAGGCCAGATTACTGTATGTTTGGCTGTCCTTCTTTTGTTATGATTGTCTCCTATTTGTGAGTGGAGGTATAGTTGCAGTTACCTCCCCTATGTAACGGTGCGGTCTAGCAGTAGACTGAGCTGCAATAGGTTTTAGACGTTTCATAACATTTAATAATATCCAATCTTTCACAGCATTTGGAGTGTCTAGACTCACATAACGACCCCCCCCCCCTCCCAATGCTGTTCCCTGATACACCTGCCCCTATACAACACATATCAACTCAGTCGATCCTCCGTCTGAAGTCTTTCATTTACACATACAAACACACACACGGACAAATGACTCTTTACAATATTTACAGTACACATAGTTAGCCAATATTTCCAGCGTCAGGAAAACAACTAACTTGTGTTCCGTGTTTTAGATGAACTGGCGAGGAAGAAAAATGAGAGCATCGTCTGGTTTGTCAGTCACTGCGAGACCCAGTCCAAGAGGGAATTGTACGTGAAGGAGATGCAGGTTGGTTGACTCACGACCCTCGTCTATGGGTAGCTTTGACGCTGCTGTTGGTATTTTTTTTTTGTTCCGCTGCACTTGCAATTTTTTTTCTGGTACAGTTTTGCATATATTATTTATCTAAACTTACTTTTGTAGGTATATTTTTATAATTTTATTTTGAGTTGCTAAACGTTTTTCTTTATAACATTGTGTGTATCAGTCACTATATATAACCTAGAATAATATATATGTTTTTCTATATTATTAGTTTTAGTAATGTTTTAGCTCTAAGTCTAAGACTTTCTCCAAGACAAACATCACACCATCACATTAGCGACCATTATAAAACGTATGTCTTATATCCATTCATTGACTGTTTCATTGTGTGTCCCCAGAAATATGTGAACATAACGATCATTGGCCGGTGTGGAGGTGTAGACCCGACCTGCCCACACAGAGACCAGGGACAATGCATGCACGACATCTTCAAAGACTACCTGTTCTACCTGTCCTTCGAGAACTCCATCTGCCACGAGTACGTGACAGAGAAGGTGTTCAAGGTGTTCGTCCAGGAGACCCCCATTATCCCAGTGGTCAGGGGCGGGTCCGACTATGCCAGAGTTCTCCCAGCCAACACGTTTATCGACGCCGATTGGTTTCAGACGCCGAAAGAACTGGCGCTGTTTTTGACGGCGTTGGGCCGAGATCTGAAGACGTACTCGCGGATGTTGGAGCTCAAGTCTATGTACAAGACGCTGCCGAAGTTCCTCGTATTATGTGAAGTGTGTAGGGCCCTGGTGCACCAGCTTGTCAAACCAAAAGTTTACGACATCAAGAAGTGGTTAGATGCCGGCTGTAGGGAGCCTAAAAACTTTACAGTATCAGCGAGGGAGGAGAATTTAACCTCATGAATCTCTTGACTCTTAAACACCGGGTTTTCTGTTTTACTAAATCAATTATTTATACAATAAATGGCACGCGCCGACCAGATAAAAAGCTTTAAATAACAGAGTGTTTCTTACATATTGTAAATAAAACAAAACTGCTGAAGTTTAAAAATTCCTTAAGGAGGTACTCTACCTATTCTAATGTTTCCAGTTTTGCAGCTTTTACAACTATCGAATAATAGTAATTCCTACCACCTTTTCGCAATTTTAAAATTCAAACTCTGTGGGAATCTTTGAAAGGCGAACTTTTTGTCTCCTATCAGATTTCCATAAGACGCATAATATCCTTGGCATAATTAGCTAAAACAGAAGCAAAATACTGAAGGAAAAAAGTGCAACTACTTCCAAATGATGAAAAGAATAACTAAATTTTTTTTTCAGAATTACAGCCTTTGAAACAGGTAATGTTCTTTGAAAATTGGCATTGAAATTAGCATTGAAATTAGCAGTAAAGAGGTGTATTAACAGTACAGTGATCTAGCCTTATTCTCTGCATACGTGTGTTGAGTTCGAAATATTGATTTTTTTGTCATGTACATTTATAGGTATAGGATTTCCATTTTTTTTAAAAACCTAAATTTTTAAACATCGTAACTTTTCTACTACTTGAGATATATGAACAAAATTGGTATCCACTATCTTAGGATCTTGAGTTCTTGACATGGCAACTTTTTAGAAAACAGGTTTGACATATTTAATTGATTGAATATAGCTTTGCATTATATATATATATATATATATATATATATATATATATATATATATATATATATAAAGTCTGTCTTTCTGCATCTTTATAAACAAACAAGAGACGTGGGGCATATATGTACCATCCAGTACCTATTAGAGCTCAGAAACGTCTAGATTTCGAGAATTTCAGATTAGCAGACGTCAGCTCTACCATTCGACCTCGCCGTCCTCTGAATTTATAGTATCCATTACTTTTTAAATATATAGTCACCAATACGGCTAAAGCTTAAACCACGAATAAAGTACATTAAAAACGTTCGTCTGCGCGTCTTTGCTAAATAAGAAATGTAAATTATCACTAACATTGTTTGAATAGATGTCAAACTAAACAAATAAAATGTTAAAAGCTTTTTTGAAGGTTTTAATTACATTTTTAAAAGGAAAACAAATACAGCAAGCTGCAAGTGATAAAGCGTTTGCATATAGTTTTACATTGCTCATGGAAACCTGCAAGAACTTACAACGCAGGCTGTTGTTTGGTTTAATACTGATAGTAACCAGAGGTGTCGCGTGGTGCGGGGGGTACGGACCGCACCAGGTGACACCATTTAGGGGGTGATACCAAGGCAAAATATATATAGAAAAAAAAACAGATGATTCTAGTTAACAAAATGATTAATTAGAGTTAAAGTCTTTTTATGAGCAAAATTGACAAATTCCGACAAAGGTGTGTGTGTGTGTGTGGGGGGGGGGGGGGAGTTATGTGACACTACAGGGTAAACATGCTAGCGATATAGAAAACTATACTACATCTAGCTGTATTTATAACCGGCTATAGATGAAAATTGATTGTATTACTTGTGCACAGTTTAAAGTTATCACAAGGAGGAGGGGGGGGGGGCGTATAAAACCAACTAAACGTTTCGAAATTCGCCTGAGGAAAAGGGTTTTCTTGAGAGTTGTAGTTGTAATAACTGACACGTCAATCCACGTCTGGTGTGTGGAGGGATGACACCAAATTTAATAATTTACTACAAATACAAGGATTTTTCCACTTGAATTAATAACGGTTATAGTTAGGTCCGTAAATTATTATACAACAGCCTACGTGTGTGTGTGTGTGTGTATGTAAGTGTGATTGTGTAACTGTGTGGAGGTGTGTGGCTGACACCAATAGAAAAATAGTTGTACAATTGATTGTGCTTAATTAGTTGATTTGTTATCCATGATGTGTGATATGTTTTAATGGGTTATTTTTCTATTCCTAAAAAATTGTGTGATATGTGGCTAAAATCAAAGCATATCTTTTCACGGATTTTTGTTTTCGTCATACACATTTTTCAATAAGTAATACGTTCAAAGGAAAACATTTTGCTTTTCAATTACTTAAAAGTGCGTGTTACAAAACAGCAAAAGTTTTTAAATGTATTAATCTATTATCAATAAATTAAGTTTAAAAAAAAACATTGACAGACGAAATTGAATAATGGAAACAATACGCAATAAAATGCGAGCAACAGATAAATATAACTGTTTGGCTTGCCACATTGACACATGTTGGTTGACAGCTGAACGTTTTAAAACAATTAATTCACGCCTTTAATCAGTTTGATCATTAAATGTTGTATATTATATGTTAAATTATAATAAATTGATTTCAAATTTAGTATACCCATACGAGATAGAGAGATTCTAGCTGATTCAAAAGTTGTAAAAAAAAAAGTACATGGTCGCTTTGTTACTCAGTTTTCTATAAATTATTTAAAAAAAAAGGACGAATTTCATCCAAAAACCCGCGATGCTTTAAAAAAAATCAAATACATCCAGAAAAAAAAAAAGATATTATAAAAATACATATACTCATGCGTATACATAAAACATAGACTTACAAATGTAGATAGCTTATACATATATATATATATATATATATATATATATACATATATATGTATATATACACATACACACACACACATATATATATATATATATATATATATATATATATATATATATATATATATATATATATATATACACATATATGCATGTATGTATAGGCATATATACAGATTTGTTTTCGCTAGAGGGGGGGGGGGTGACACCTTTAGTAACTAAAGCATTATTGATCTTGTTGGGTGTTGACTTATATTTTACTTTATTATAGTGATTACTGAGTTAAGATCTAAAAATATTTTAGTGCAATTTTTAAAATACAAGAAATGAAATCATTTACAGAGATAATCTTATGTAAAAAGTTATTACAAATTAGCATTGGTGAGTAAATATCATAAATAATGATTTATTTTTCGTCCATGTGGACTCCACCATTTAATGAAACATCACTATTCTGACAGGTTTTTACACATTCACATCTAACCTACGTTATAAAACCGTATGCTTTACATTGCAGTGCTCGGGTCTACATTTAAAAAAAAAGCTCAACAATAAGTTGAACCATTGCTTCTACGTCTATTCTTATCCTTTGTCACCCACTCACTACTATAATTACCTTCGCTATTTGAGCCACTGTGGGTATGGCCAAATAAATTTTCCATAGGTTGCATGAAAACATGGGCACCGCTACTTCCAGGACATGTGCTTGTGGTGTAAGTTGTACCTAGTCCAGCTAGGTTGCATTTCATGTTCGTGTGTCCATTGTCCTACAGAGACCTGTTTAGGACAGCCATGAGGATGTGACACTATAATGGTCAACTTGTCCACATCAGCAAATCTCCCGTATTTGTCCCATACTTTCACACATAGATCAACAAAGTGCTGACACATCTTGTCCAGTTCATCAACCAACTCTAAGTCACATGACACACATGTAAACATACACCAGTCTCCCTCAATATCTGCCCACTTCACCCCCCAGCCATCAAGACTGACCCCAGGACTTTTATTGTCATCAAAACCTACAACACACCTGGTCTGTCTCGCCTCACTCTCATCAAACACCACGTGTCTGGCCGGTCCACACATAAACCTCCCCCCACATTTTGCTAGGTGTGTCTGTGTGTTGACACTTGCCACATGGACAAGTACCCTTGATGTCACTCTCTGTGTTTTTTTCCACAACACTTATCCTCCCCGTCCCTGTCCTTATTACGTCATTTCCTCTGGCGGTATAAAATGGATACTGACCACTGAAGCTTGTAACAGACTTTGGTCTCTTTAAACTGGTGTATTTGACCTTTATCAGGACCGTTAGGTCAGACAAAGCTTTGATTAGATCCAACATGATGACGTCATGGTAACGTGAGGGGGAGATGATCCAAGTTAAAATCATTAACAGGTATAAAGTTGACATGACCTGGATTCTTCTTACAGCCGGTATAGTGCTTGTGTAAGTCAGCTTCACCTCCATAGCACATCTCAGCTTCATGATGTCCTGAGCATAGGGAGATAATTTTTTATTTATTGATTAAAATGGATTTAGAATAAATTTAAACTCAAATGAAACAGAAAACAATTTTGAAATATATATACAGAAAAAACAGTGTCCCAGAACAGGCCACAACAGATTGAAACAACATATGTTCAGAAAATAATTTGGCCAAACAAATCTTGCCCTTGTGGCATAGCCCCAGAGAACAGAGAACACGAGTATTGCAGCATATACGACCAACATTGGATTAGAAGCTGGTCCAACAACAACGCACTGAGGGAGGAACTGTATGAGGGTGCTCTCAGATCTGAAGCCTACCGTCTAGTTCGCCCACGACGTTGAAAATAAAAGTGTTCCTTTCAGACATTTAGCTTCTGTTCAACACTTAAACCTTCCGGGTGAGGGTGGGATAGGTAAAGTGTATATTTTTTCATATTTCAATTGACTAGTTTTTTTTCTATTTAGTCCGGGTAGATGCCTGAAAGAAACACTGAGCAAAAACATGAAAATAGAATGAAAGTTCTCTTAGAAGCTACACGCCCAAAAATACACCACAAAAATACACCTGATACTTCAGCGGCTCTCACCTGGTAAAAAAACTCCTTCACTAGCGAACTCCATGGGGGTTTCCTTTCTATTTGCATTCAACATGCGAGGAGAACACTGTACCTGAAGTAAAAAGTGCGCTTTTGAATTTGAAATACATAGTAGATGCTATAACACAGAATGTCCTTTTTGGTTCAACATACTTCCTTTTTTTTCTTTTTCATTTAAAGTGATGTAAACAGGAGTCGACCATAAATGTTGTCGCGCTTATTTTTTTTTGTTTACCCCTCCCCCCTCAGAAAAACCAGACTCTCCCTAATGACGTCACACACTTCAGCCTCTCACGTCTCTTTT